AAAACTACTTAAAACTATCCTCTCTCTCTCTTAGAACTAAATAAAACATTAAAAAAAAAAATAGGGGCACCTGGGTGGCTCAGTCGGTTAAGCATCCGAGTTCGGCTCTCACAGTTCGTGAGTTTAAGCCCCACATTGGGCTCTGTGCTGACAGCAAGCTCAGAGACTGGAGCCTGCTTCAGAGTCTGTATCTCCCTCTCTCTGACCCTTCCCTGCTCATGCTGCCTCTCTCTCTCTCTCTCTCTCTCTCAGAAATAAATAAAACATTAAAAAAACTACTTATAACTATCAAAAAGTTGAAGAAATATTGGTATTAAGCATATCTTACGCAATAATCTTTCTTTTATATAGAAACCTTACATCTTTCTCACTGATGATTTAAACTAAATACAAGTCACTTATGACACTCACATAATAAATAATCCCACTGAGGGGCGCCTGGTTGGCTCAGTCGGTTAAGCATCTGACTTCGGCTCAGGTCATGATCTCACGGTTTGTGGGTTCAAGCCCCACGTCAGGCTCTGTGCTGACAGCTAGCTCAGAGCCTGGAGCCCGTTTCAGATTCTGTATCTCCCTCTCTCTCTGCCCCTCCCCTGCTCATGCTGTCTCTCTCCCTCTCTCAGAAAAAAATAAAACATTAAAATTTTTTTTAATAAATAAATAATCCCACTGATTATAGAATGACCACACCCATTAATAGACACATCAACAGATGCAGGAAATATCTTTTTTTAAATAACGAGAGTTAAGTACATGCTTCCTGGTTAAAGGCAATAGCCTCACAGTCGATTGGCAAAAACGGCGAAGCCTGGCAATATGGTGTTGGAGAGGACAGGGGAAAGGGGGGAGACGGAGCTGTCAGTGATACAATGGCCCAGGCCCTGAGAGACGCTGAGCAAGCAGGTACCGTGATGTCAGGGCTGGGGTGCAGGGGTCTGGGTCAGGCAGGACGGGAATCGGCTGCAGTTCATCCTTCGGGGGCGTGGCCCCGGCTTTGGCTTCGGGTCACTCACGGTGACCGGGGTGCAGTGGGAACCCGGCCCCAGGGTGGGAGGCCCCCACCGAAGAGCGGCTGCCTCAGAGCACGGTGCCACCACCTGTGGCCAGGCAGCTCTCCGGCGGCGCCTGGAAGATGACAACATTGGGCCCACCTGGCACACTGGGGAGCAGAAAGGAGTAACGGAGGCATCTGTCTACACACAGCCAGGGTGGCAGAAAGATGAGTGGGATGCGATTATAGGATGCCTGGGGTTTACCTAAAATAACCCGGCAGCGGGGGAAGGGGAGGGTGGGGAGCAGTGCGTGGGGACACGTGAAGCCAAGCTTGGCGGCAAGAGGGTGACTGTCAGTGTGGGAGATGGCAGTGGGCACTCACTATTCTCAGCTCTCCATTTTTGCATACTTTTAAAATTTCCATAACAAGCTTTTAAAATATATATACATATATATATAACTTGCCATAACCAAGGCAACGCACCCCTGCACCCACCCAAAGCGATTCGAGAACCAGACCCCAGGTTCTCAGAGCGGTCCACACCCCGGGGGGTTGGCGGGGAGAGGTCAGCCAGGTCCACCAAACTGTCTCAACACTACTGAGACATGATTTGCCTCTCTCACCATATTGACATTTACCCCGATGCTGCAAAAGTAACAAAGGGTAAAGCTGTGGCCTCCCCCCACTAATTAAAGCCCTGACCCCAAACCACACTTGGTTTGGGTTTGGGGTCAGCACCCCCTGCTGTACACGCACTCAGGAAAACAATGCCGGTGTCTCTTAAGAACATCCATTGTTAAATAGTTAAGACTTAATTTTACAACATTAGACCCCTAAGTTCCACCCGTTTACTGATATTCTGACCGAGAGAACAGGACGAAGGCAGGACGTGGTCCAGCTGCACGTGGGGGTCCGTGGCGGCTGGGGAAGCTCAGGGCAGCAGCCGGGTGGGGGCCCAGGTGGCTGCTTCTTTCCGGCCCAGCCCTCCAAGTAAAACACAGATGGACGACCTCTGGTTATTCAGACTTAGGCATATGGCAGACATTTTCTAAAAAATTAATAAAGTCAGCCTATCACTTCAAGAACTGATTGTATTTGCTGCCAAAGATAAAATTTGAGCTTCTGAGTGCAGACTGGAATTTTAGAACACTTGTCTACCATAAGCCCCATATGATGACTTCCCCATACTGTAAACCTGATGAATCCATATATGCCAGGTGACTGGTGCGTGATGTCACAAAATCATACAGGAGTGAAAGACCCAGGCAGATGACTCTGGTCATTTACATCGCAACAAAGTTCAGACAGATGCTACTATTTGTCTTCTTGTAGTAGCAAATAGCCCCAATTACTTAAAAAGACTATTAAAATACTGCTGCCTTTTCCAAATGGGTTTGGTTCATATACTGTGTGAGACTGGGTTTTATTCATATATTTGAACCAAAACAACAGACTGCAAAAACACTGAATACAGAAGCAAACATGAGAATCAAGCTACTTCTATTAAGCCAGAAATCAGCAAGAAAAAAAAAAAAAAAATCAAACAGTGCCACACTTACAAATTTTTGTGCTTTTGGAAAAAACAGGTTTGTTATTTAATAAAAATGTTATTTATATTAATGATCAGGTCTACTATTAATTTTAATGAATTGATAAATGTTTAAATTTATCAGTTTTAATTTCTAATATGATAAATATCGATAGATGTAACACAGATAAAAACTGTTTGGGATACCCAATATTTTCTAAGAGTGTAAAGAGGTCCTATGGCTGAAGAGTTTGAGAATCACTAACTTAAGTGGGCCCTTGATATTAAATGGATCAGAAATATGCACAGGGGTGGATGATATGGAATTAAGGGAGAAATGTAATGAATGATCTTTCAATAAGAGACAGGATAAACTGGGACGTAGTCATACAATGGAATATCATGCAGCTATGAGACACATACACCTCATGAGCACACTGTTGTGTTGTGAAGAAAGGGAAATGGTCAAAAGATCTGTACCAAGTGATACTGATTTCTATTTGAAAACAACAGATGACACCACATGCTGTTTATGGATAAACACGGGAACACACACACAGAAACGCAGTCAAATGGACCTTTGCAACATAGACCTTCAGAAGGATACCCACCAAATTCATAATCTTGTCTGCCTGTAGGGAAAAAGGGAGCAGCACTGGGAGGCATTCAACTTTTGTCTGTAATGTTCAATTTCTTTTATTTAAAAGAAAAGGAGTGAGGAGCAGAGGATCAGCACCTAGTCTGCACCTTGGAGGCTCACTGAATTCTTTTGGTGGGTAGCCAGCTGCCCTCGTTTTGCAAGGGCACCTGGTTTCCTGGAGGTTCCTCTGCCCCCCACTGAGCACCTACTCTGTGCCAGGCACTGGCAGAGTGCCAAGGACACAAAAATGAAGGAAGGAAGGAATGAAGGACTAATACAGGCTACCACACCAATGAAGCTCAAAAAAAATATGTGCCAGACATATAAAAGACGCCAGACACAAGCGACCACATACTGTATGAGGAGATTTATATGAAATGTCTGGAAAAGGCAAATCTATAGAAAGAGCCACGTGGTGGTTGCCAGGGGCTGAGGATGAAAGCAGCGGGTCACCGTGAATGGGCACGAGGGGTCTTTGCAGGATGGCGGAAATGTTCTAAACCTGGACTACGGTGATGGTTGTGTAACTCTGCAAATGCACTAAGAATCGTTGAACTGTACACTTTAAATGGGTGGAGTTCATCAAGTGACTTTCCACAGTTGACCATTCACTTCTGCTTGTCAACCAACATTTCACAACTTCTAGGGCAGTCCTTCTCCGGTGCTCAATGACAAACCGGAGCCCCACTGCCTGGGCAAACAGTCTGAAGTGACTTAACTTCCCTCTGGATCTGGATGGTGCCACTTATGTCCCATCCTTGGAAGAATTGAGAAAAGAATCTCTGGGTCTCTCAAGGAACCCCAGTTGGGAAAGGCTGCAGGCGGAACAAACAAAAATCAACACTAAATCTAGATCCTATAAAGTCTCAAGATCTCATTAAAAATAACTTCAGAGGTTTTAAACTACTTGATAAATTTTTATTTTACATAATAATAATGTATATAAAAAAGGCAAAGAATGACCATTCCGTTTCATGCAGTATTTTCTTTTTAAATAAACGAAACGCTTCTCTTAAGTGGGGTCAAGGAATCTTTAAAGGATGATTTCATAGTGTCACAGATCAAGCGACTTAGGAGAAGATACCATTTAGGTCATCGGGGTACTCTTAAACAGCTCGCAGTTTTCCATGCCGGCTTTGGAGGCCTTCCATGCCCACAAGTGCATTCAGGGTGAAAGACCCCCACGAGCCTTCTCCACATTGGGCTTCCTCCCGGGCTCACAGCTTAGCGTCCGTGCTCAACTGCCCTGTACAATCTCAGCAAAGGACGGGGCCAGCTCTCCAGGCCTCTGTTCTTCCCCAGGACGACATGCGCCCTGCCCCAAAGAGCGCCCTGTGCAGGCGAGATCGGGCCTGTTCCCGGGTGGGCTGGGGAGTGCGCACCGTCACTTCGCCGGGTCTCCTCCCCGCCACGTCCACCCGGGCCTCCCTGCACACCCGTGCGCCCTGCCGCGGAAGGCACTCCCCGGCCCCCCACCGTCCGGCCCTCGACGGCTAACTGAGATCCGTCTCCAGCCCTCCGCCAGCCCCCAAAGGAAAGGCCGCCCTCCGCCCCCCGGCTTTAGCAATCCCACCACGGGCCTCCGTCAGTCAGGCGGCCCCTCCATCAAACAGACTGCACCACTCGGCGGGTTCTCAGCCTAACGTCGTCCTAGAAGAGACAGGGCCTGCCCCTCTTTTTAGGATGCCGGGGCCGCAGTCTGGGAACGGCCAGTGCGGGGCTGGGCGGGCGCTGCGAGGCCCGGTCTGGGGTCTAGCCTTCCTCGGCCGCCCCCAGCGGCTTGGGGGCGGGAGCAGGTGCCGGTCCGGACCCCACAGTGGCCCGCAGCCCGACCTCACCCGAACACGTGCTCCGAGCTCCAGATCTTCATCGCCGCCGGCCGCCGGCCGCAGGGCGCGGGCTCACCGCTCGGACTCCGCGCGCCCGATTCTGCGCGCCCGGCTCCTCCCTCGCGGCGCGTGGGGGCGGGGCGGGGGCGGGGCGCGCGCGGCGGGCGGGGCCGGCACCCGCGCTCTCCGGCGCCGCCTGCTTGCTTGTCACTTGGCCACCGCGGTTGTGGTCGCTAAAAATAGGGATGCGGGACTCAGCTGTCCCCGCGGACGGGGCACCTGCGCTGCGGCAAGGAGATGCGCGGATAGCACTAGCTGCAGATGCAGGGATGGAGGTGAGGGACTAATTCTCATCGTTCAGGTTGACCACATTCTCCCACAGCTCTTTCCAGTCAGGCTGGTTTTTACTGTTGGAAAGCATAAAGAAAAACAAAATCTCCTGTCAGCCACCTGCCTCCCCCCCCCCCCAAACTCTCTACCGGAATAGAAGAGAAACAGTTTTACTACTGAGTAAGCATTAAGCCAGAATGTAATGCGTGTCACAGGCTGTCCCCTAAAGAGATTGCAAAGACAGCAAGAAATCCACCCTCTATATATAGCCAGGCAGGTGCAATACCTTCCATCCATGTTTTCAAGTGAGAGGACTTGACAACACCGTTTGTCACACAGAGTTCATGCTAAAGTTACCTAGCAATTAGAGTGGCTGTTTTTATTTGCTAATTGTCTTTATCCAAAGGAGCAATAAAATTCTCCTGTCGTTACCATAGAAGGTAGGCTTGAAGCCAGGTGCTCCTGAAAATTAAGCTAACATTTCAAAGAGATGGCTCCCAGGACTTTGACAGAAAACACTTCTGGGTTGTAAAACTGGCAAGGGGCCTACTTAGCTTTTGAAAACATTTACACGCATCTCAAAAGGACAAAGGACTTAGAAGTTTTCTAGAGTAAATGCTCTTTAAGAAGGGAAGGGAGCAGTTCTTTTCCTTTTGCATCAGGGAGAAACCAGTTTTTTTTCTTTTTAGATTTGTATTCACCCTGCACTACCACAACCAAAGTTCAAGTGCAAAGAAGCTGACGCTTGTTTTGTGAAGAAGGTGACCTGCATGAGGGCAGGGACCTCACCCGGTTCAGTACTGAATCTCAGGACTTAGCACGGCACCCGGCATTGAGTGGGCATCCAGAGCCTGTTTGTGCAATGAGCCAGTGAAGTGGAAAGAGAACACAGAACCAGCCAGAAGACCGAGGTTAGGATCCTGGCTCCATCATCTACTTATGCTGACCTTTACCACCTATGGCTTTAACCTTACAGTAATCTTCCAGAGTTGATGCTACTATACCTGTTTCATAGATGAGCAGCCTGGGGTTTAAGAAAGTATAAAAGCTCTCTCAGTGTTCACACACTAAGGGATGGAGCTGAAACCTGGCACTGGCCATTCCCATTCCCAGACAGCGACCTTGGCATCCTGAAAAAAAGAGCCAGCTCTGTCCTTTCTAGGGGCCATTAGGTAGAGAACTCACAGAGCAATGCAGTCTATTGGATTCAGGGGCCACCTGGCTGATGAGCCTGTGATGGAACTGCCAAAGCAGGGGGCTGGGTGGGGGGCCTTCCTTTGGGGGCTGGTGGAAGGCTGAGCTGCTGACAGACCCCAGCTACCCATATAGGGCTGGACAGTGGGGTTTGCACGATTCCCCCTCACACCTGTGCTGCAGGGCTCACAATTATGATCAGGCCTGTGTGGAACACTTTCTATATGCCCAGCACTAGGAAGTTAGGGCTCTCATTTTGGTTTTTAAAAGGCATTATCGTTTACAATCAACATTTTCCACAAATGTGTTCTGAGCATGAGGCTTAAAGAACGGGGCCGGCTGGTGAGTTAGAAAACACTTTAGGTGAGACCGCTTCTGTAAGTACCTCCAGGTCTGAGAGGCATCAGCTGCTGAGTTTGCATCTCACCGAGTGGGGAACTAAGACCCTAACGAGGTAGCACCTTGATATAGAGACATGCTATTTAGCGGTGGGGTTGAGCGCCCAAGAAGAGGGGAGAAATGAGACCACCTTTTGTCCCTGGATGATTGCTGCACAGTCTCACCATCACCAGCCCTTGCCTCGTCTTCAAATCCACCTTACACGGGCCGTGGGCTCCCAGGCAGCCACACCTGGCGCAGGTGTCATCCGTCCTGTGCAGCGCCTTCCTTGCGATTGCATCACAGCCCCCGCACACCCCCCTCTGAGACTCACCACAGTGGATTATGATCATCCATGGTTTTCTGCCTCTCCCGCCAGGCTAAAAATCTTTTGAGATCAGGAAGTAGATTATCATTATCCTTGGTATTTCCAGAGCCAGAGGCCTAGTAGGTACACAATAAATGAAGAATTGTTGAACAATGAACACAAGTCACATCCCCGCTTGAAGTCCTATCCTGATACCTCCAGGGTCCACACTTGCGCTCGCTCGGTTACATTGAGTCCACTCCTGGAACAGCAGCGGCTGCATCACCTGGGAACTTCTTAGAAATGGAAACCCTAGGCCCCACCTCAGCCCCACCATGCAGTGGGAGGCCAGTGTGGGGACAAGCATTTGTGGTTTAACAAGTTCTCCCAGGGACTCTGATGCCGACGGACACCAACTGTCTCAGATCCACCTGTCCACCTTCTAGATCAGGCAAGGAGCTTCCTTGTCATCACCACCACTCCCTCATACTATTTCTTCCAGCCAGAATGTGCTCTGCCATGCTTGTCCTAGAAGAGAGCACTGTATGCAAAAATCCAGAAGCATGAGGGGGTGGCGGTGCCCTTAGTGGGCTCTAAATTGCTCGAGCGTTTGGATTGTGGAGTCCCAGGGGGACGTGGCTAGAGTGGAAGCTAAAAAGGTAGACAAGGAGCCATATCGCAAAGGGCCTTATATTTCATTCCAAGAAGTTTAGATTTTATTTTGAAGACAGTGGAGTTTTGACAGATTTTTGAGTTTGAGATCTCTGAGGCAAAACAGTTAAAAATATAAGCAAGATTTGGGAAGCATACTTGGCTGGCTCTGGGGGTGCTAACATGAAATGTAGATGCTACATTACACCTTCCCAAAGAGCCTTGTCTGTTTAGTCTGTATTGGGAGCCACCCTGACTCCAGGGAGCCTGCCTGCCCTGAGGCAGCCGTGGGTCTCTATCACAGCAGTGTGTGTGTTCTTTAGAGGAGCCCAGGACCTGAGCTCTTTCCCTTACCTCACCCCTGCTTATCCCAAACAAACCAGGTGGGTTGATTTTTCCTTACTTGAGGTTTGCAGAAGACAGAGGAGCCATCCCTATTCACCCTCCTCTTTAAAAGGCAAAGATTTGTTATTTTTAATTAAATGTTAGATGAAACAATGTTCAAGCAGAGACGAAGGCCAGCTTAGGGGGTGCTGAGCAGACCCACTGCGCCCCTGAACAGTTCCTGGACACTTAGCGGGAGGTGCCACACACTCGGTGAAGCAGCCAAGACAGACTCCGGCAGGTGTGGCGGTTGTGCTCACAGCCAGGTGACACATGGGGCTGATTCAGTGCCACCCAACAGCTTCTTTGTTGTTGTTTGAGTTTTATGGTTTCTGTAGAACTGGAAAGGCGCCAGGGAACAGAGCAACCTTAAGCCAAGCACAGGATATGGCCGTTTCTCCAATAGTTATCAGAGATGGGATGATAGATTCGGCTATTGACTGAACCTATCACAGCAGCACACATCTGGGCTGGTTGTGGTCATGGCAGCTGTGGGAACGGAGGAATGATTCCCCAGGGATGGAGCATTTAGGAGCAAAAGTCACCCTTCACTTTTATCTTGGGCTGAAATGCCTCTTCCACATTTTCTTTGGCTTGAAAACCGGGGTCACTTGCGTGATTACAGAAGCACCCGAGGGAAATGATGAGGTACACGTGCCATCCTAGAAGTTTATGGTGGTAAATGCCAAAGCTGTGTATGTGAAGCATTTGAAACTTGACCTCCGGCTACTACACTCCCCTATAAGTATTATGAAATTGTTCTCCCCACTTCTCATCTCGATCTTTAAGAGTCCGTGTATGCTCTTCCCTCTCTGTTGCTGCTTATTTATTCCACATGTTGGGATAGGCTCCTGAGACTCTGCTCATTAGGGTCACGTTTTCCAATCCAGTGGGCATTGTTCAGCCCCGCTCCGTGCAGACCTCTCTGGTCCACTTGAACTACTGAGCACTCTCTCCTTGAAACTCTGCTACCTTGGCTTTGCTCCAACGCCATCTCATTGTTGCAGCATGTTCCTTCCGCGTCTCCTTTGCAGGTTCTTCTTCTCACTCTTCATTCTTCTGCTCTTCTCTCTCTACACCTTCTACCTGAGCGAACTCACTGAGCTTCATGGTTTCTACCAACTCCCAAGCCTGTGTCTTGATCTCATTTTTACCCCAAGCTTCACACCCATCTACCTGGTTACCCAGGGGATATTCCCTGGGTCCATACCTCAATCTCATTGTAGCCCAGGCATCTTCCACCCTAAGAAAATCCCTTTTCAGAATTCACTGTCCAGGTTCCTGGTATCACCAGGGTGCCCCAAGCTAGAGTTAACCCCTTACCCTCTTTGTCCAACCCATCTTATCAAGTCCTTTAGAATTCACCTCTTAAACATTGTTTTAATCCATTCATTCTTCTATATACTTTAAGAGACAATGTGATTTAGTAGTCATAATTGAAGGCATAGGTTTGCAGATGAACAAACCTGGGTGCCAGCTCTGGCTCCCCTTCTGCAAACGTCCATGTCATGATCTATGAAATGGGGATATTAACAGTAGTTCCCCCAAAGTACTTGGGAGAATTAACTGAGAATATAAGGCAAGTCCTTTAGCACAGCAACTGGCATGCAGTAACAACAAGTGTCAGCCATTCTCATTGTTAGGACTGGATTACCACCTGCTACCACTGTCTTAGCCCAGCGCTCCACCACCTCTCTTCTGAATTACTCTAATGGCCCAGAACTGGTCTCACTGCCACTCAGCCAGCCCCTCCGAATGGTGCCATTCCCATGCCCAACCGTCACTCCTGTGTTGTCAGCCTATGTGGCACCACTCCGAAGCGGTGTTTGACTGCCCTTGG